ACTTTTTAATATAAGTTATATGTCCACTTAAAAGTTAAAGAAAAAGATCAACATTGCACATGTTTCAAATGAACACATTTGTTGTAGGCTTGGGATAATTAGGATTTTTTATATAGTGTGTTCTAATGTGTGAATGTGAGTAATATAAACTCAGGTTTTTCTAACTCATAGTTGGTGTAGTAAAGCCACCAGGGCCTCAACCCAGTGTCACCTAATACTAGAGTCACAAATGTCCAGGACAATGGGTATCACAAAGCTTGATGGTGGTACCTGAGGGAGACAGGGGGCAGAGTGGGCGGTTATGCATCTTAGCTGGCTCTGCTACTTAGTAGTTGTGCGATAGTAGGCGAGGGGCAGTGAGAGTATCTCAGTAAATTGATAGGATGGAAATGACACTCATAACCATAAAAACACTCAGTAAATTCCTGTGAGTGTAACCTTTAGAGTTATCGTTACTGGCCATTGTTACATAGAAATACCAGCTGGAAGAGACAACCTTTATATTTCTGAACTTCTAAACTTCCTGGCATTTCAGTTTTTATTCTTTGATTTTAAAACTGAAAGACACAATAATAATAGGAACAGAAAAAGAGAAAGTCTCTTAGAGCAGGAAAGGTAAATTCAGGGCTAACCTCCATCCTCAGAAAATACAATGGGCATCCTAGAGAAGGGAATCTTGAGCTGTAGGTGTCCCTTGTATACTCATTTACAATCAATTTAGCAGAATGCCCAGAGGAGATGTGAGGGAAAAGCAAGACCTGAGATAGAAATGCAAAGATCCTTAAGCTTGAAATGAAGAAAAACATATTCATTTGGCTTTAAATAAGGCCATAGGCTGAGTTTGAAATTGAATTTTAGGCTAGAGTTTGGGTCAGCATTTCAATAGGTAGTGTATCGTTCTTACTTTTGTTTGTTTAGGGGGCTGGATAATGTATTTAGCATACCCCACTTCAGAAATTAGATGAATATGTATTACAATATCAGGAAGATTTTACCATTTAATTTAGTTAATTCTGGGCTGCCTGAGTTAAGCGAAATGTATCGAAGCTTTTATGGATCTGATTTCTCTGTGTTACATTTTTAGTGTGGTGTCTTTACTTTCTTTTAAAGGCTTTACATTTCATTCATATTCTTATGTTGGTTTATATTGCTGGATCATTATTTTCCAAACTGTATGCATTGAACAAGGATGCTAAATTTAAAAACAAAGAAAACCAAAGTTTTGGTTATATTATTTTAGAAATTATTTATTTAAAACAGATGTTTTTATTACAGGTCGTCTCAGAGAATTTAATACTTTATTGTGTGCTGTGAATGTCTAGGCTGTACTATCCAGGTTTCCTGCAATTTATTTGACCCAAGAACACTTTTTCCTACCTACACCCATTGGCATCACTTGAAACTGATTTTGTGGAAAAACTCCTAATGATAATATGCATACACACAATAAGGTATCATTGTTTTGGCAGTGCATACCTATTGTGGATAAAACCAAAACATATGACTTTCTTCTCAAACAAAATGTTTGATTATAATGGCAAATAATGATAAGTTTTGACAAAATAATCAAAGTGGCTAGTATGTGTGTGTGTGTATTGGTGTGCGTGTGTGTCCCCTTTATTGATAACAGGTGCTACTTTTAGTTACTTACCAAGTGATATCATTTAATTAACTATGTAACAATAGAAGTGGTTATTATTGAGATTTTGTCCTTTCATGATTCTTTATTATAAATGGTTTTACTTATGCTTGTAGATGTATATATTAGGTGAATATGATTCATGCTCATTAATAAAGGTATTAAACTCACCATTTCATTGTACTGGATTTCTAAAATGATAAAGAGAATTACTTTTGTTGGTGTAACTATAGTTTGTTAAATCCATCTTCGAAATATAACTCAGTTAAGTGGGTTGTTTTTTTTTTTAAGTATACTGGGAAATAAAATTGTCTCTGAAGAAAAATACACTACTTTGCATCTTGAAATTTGATTTTTGTACTCACAGTGATCAGAGCATCATTCAATGCAAATAAAAGAATTAAATCTAGAGAATATGCCACATTTGCATTAAGTGTCTAGTTCCAAAACACCTCCTACACAAATCTGGATTGAATATGGTGACTGCTTTCCCAGTGTTCCTGAAAGACCAAAATAATATGCTGCTCACTAATATATGATAAAAATTCAGCACTATTCATTTTCAGAGAACATCTTTAATATAAATGCATAATTTATTCTTATTTTATAGTATCATTATAAGAGGGCTTCTTATAATAACCCATTCCTAAATGGGTTATAGACATAATTCACCTCATCCCCAAATAGAAATGGTTCCCATTTATGCACCGAGCAGATGCAGTAGCATATGATGTAGCAACTATCTCTGAGTCAGTGACCTCTTTCTGCTTTTAATATTTCTTTAGCTTCTGGCTAAAAGGCAAATTATCCCCTATTGTTCCCTGTGATTGTTGTCCAAGCAGCATTGTTATGGCATCTTTAAAAAAGTTATAAAAGTGATCCGGGGAAGCAAAATGAAGGCTACTGGAGTATCCCAGAGTCACACATTTGTGTGACTCTTGGCTTTCTCAAGCCTCTGCATCTTCCGCTGGGCTCTAAGGAAATGAGGGAGAGATGGGATTGAGGCAGGTTTGGAAGATTAGCTGGGGTAGAGGTAAGGGACTTGAAAGAAAAATATATAAAGAGAAAAGAACTGTATACTATGGCCTGTGACTTTTCATACTATTATTCATACTGCTGACAGTAGGTCTAGTCTAAGAAAGAGAATGTAATTTTAAGTTAGTTTTTAATGTCTGAATTAAGATGCCAAACTGAATTTAGGAATGAGCTTTATTTAGACTGTGTGTTAAGACTTGAAAAGGTAATACAATTTACTGGGGGCAATTCACATATTCATCAGCTGACAAATGGATAAACACATTGTCATTTATCCATACAAGGAAATACTACTGAGCAATAAAAAGGAATAAGTTACTGAGACATGCAACAGCATGGATGAATCTTAAAAGAATTATTCTGAATAAAAATGTCAGGCACAAAAAAACACACATGCTCTGTGATTCCTTTATATGAACTTGAAGAAAGGGCAAAAAAATAGTGACAGAAAGCAGACCAGTGATTTCAGAAGTCGGGTGTGGGAGTGAGGTGTTGAGAGGGACAGTAGGAAACCTTCCCAAGTGATGGAAATGTTTTGTGTAATATTACTACTGTGTGTATTTGCCAAAGCTCACCAAATTCTGCACTTAACATTGCTGAATTTTATTACATATAAATTATACCTAACTAAAACTAGTTTTAAAAAGTATGATATGATTTTTAAAAGTATGATAAAATTCATTAGTAAGGAGAGAGGGGTTCCTAGTATTTACTAATACTTGGAAGTGACCAGAAAAATAAGGGATAGCTGAGTTTCCTCCAGAATCAGGGAAAGGATTAACATCAAATAAAAAATGTCAAGTGATGATGGAAGGTAAAAATGATTACACCTATGAGTTCTTCTTGATCATTATAACTGTTTAATATATAAACCACCCAGCCTAGTGCTTAGCACATAGAAGACACTTTTAATAAATGCTGAGTGCATTATTTTTATTGTGCATTAGGAGTGCCTAGACAACCTTATAGAAATTGTGACTATGTAGACAGAAGCTTCCTCCTACTTACTATCAAGACAGCCTATCAATGAACTGGTTTGATAATTTGAAATACACAAGAGGTGGAATTTATCAATGACTTGTTTGGGTAATTAATAAACTACAATGTATCAAAGAGGCTGAATATTCAAGCATCATTTCACAGACACATTCTTGGCTTCTTTTTTTTTTTTTTTTTTGAGTGTCATATTAGTTCTGAGCTATCCAAACCCATTTTGAGAACTCTCAGAAGAACTTCATGTCTGTTGAGAGTTAAAGTTCTGAACTTTGCAGGCATTCAACAGAAGTCATGGCCATATGTGTAATGTTTGATTTATCTGAAATGTTACTTGGCCATGTGAGAAATTAGTCATGTGCCAACAATGATTATAGGAGTGTGAGGCTCTGATCTTCACGTGCACTGTGAGAGAGAAAATATAATAGCCAACATTTATTGACACTATAATGTGCTTAGCACTAGGTAGATTTCATGATTAGGTAGATTTATGAATTATCACTTTTGAATCTCATCACCACCTTAGGAGACACAGATAAGCAAAGATATTGCACCAGTATTAAGAAGCAGATCAAAATTTTTATCTGACTCCAACAGTTGAGAACCACTGATGTGGACAGTAGTACAAAGCTGGTGAGTTTTATCAGAGCCAAGTTGCTGACATTATATCTTTGGCGTCACTTGACCTATCCTGGGAATATGGGATGGAGAAAGATAAATTGGTTTGGTCCAGACTCTCTGAACCTCAAATAGTAAGTCCATAGGAGAGCAGGCTATATTAAGTGGTCATAAATGATTTTTGAATGAATAGATAGCTCCATGCATTTAAATTCTTAGAAAGTAAGATTTGTATACTATATTCTTAACACAGAAAAGATAACCAAAAGTAGCATAAGGTTAATGTTGGATTATGGTGCATAATTTATTCTCAGAACTACTCATCTGACCAAGTCTACTTATAAGTCCATTTTGGGGTAGTGGCATAGACACACTTCTGTGTAAGATTGCTGGCATTTGCAATAATTTGAGTTTTGATAAACCTTTAATTATATTTTAGGATTATCAAACTGAGACAATCGTTGATCGAAAATGAGAAAAACAGTTAGTATGCAAACTCTAATGGTACTTTTATCATTTTCTTATCATACTGAGCTTTGAGCTTATTGTCTATTTTCCAAGAAAGTAGAAATGCTGTTTCCTAGAATAAAAATGTTTTTTATAATGTGAGCAGTAGATTCAAGCTGTACAGATTGGCTCTTTAATGAAATAGGCAACATTCCAATGGAACTGACAAGCTTTATTTCTATTTGTTGTATTTTCTTTCTCATTACAGATGGACCCGATTCAGAAAGCTGTAATAAATCATACATTCGGGGTTCCTCTTCCTCATCGAAGAAAGCAAATCATATCATGCAACATTTGCCAGTTGAGATTTAATTCCGATGTAAGTTTACCATTTAGTATTCACTGAAAAAAAATGTATTATGCTGTTCTAATCTTGCAGAAGAGATTTCTTAAACAATTTTCTCCAATAACTGAGAGTGTCAAAATTCAAAGATAAAATTTTAACTCCTTATGTTCTTTAATTTTGGAGTTTATTTTATTATTTTTGGTTGTTTACTATGGAAACATATATATTACCAGTATTTTACACTTGCAGTTTAATGGTGTATCTCTCTCTATATATTTTTGGTCTCTTGGTAATGTTAAATTTAGGTAATACACTTTCCCTTTGGGGAATAGTCAAATTTAGGACCAAGACTTTTAATAAATTATGCCTCTAATATAAGTCCCAAAATATCTTTCAAGGCCAACATTTTGCTTTGTAATTTTTTAAATCTGCCTTGGTGGTCCCCAATTCCAGACCAGCCCTTGTGTCCTTAGTGATGTTTGTGTTAGAGTTCTCGAGTTATTACCCTAGAAGTATTGGCAGTTTAATAGTGAGTCTTAAAGATCTCAAAGCACTCAAGCCCCTGATGAATAAATCTTAAGTGGAGAAAATGACAGTGAGGAGACATTTGTGGACCTGACCAGTGCTCGGCAAATTATTTGCAGAGAGTCACTCATATCTTCCATACCTTTCTAAGGATCACAGAATCTCTGGATTCATCACAGTGAAGCTCATTTTGGCTTGTGGTCAATGTGAAAAATACTCCCTGCCTTCCCCAACCTCCTTTGGTGTGGAGTTGGTCCCGAGAGGTACAGAAAAGAGAAGGAGTGTTGGTTTGGAAGGACTAGGAAGAGAATACTGCTGAAGTATATATATTCTAGGCAAACAGAGGACCCCATCCTGTCAAAGTGGCCCAACCTCCGAGGTGCCATTATCTTGCCCTAAGTGGATGTGCCGTGTGGAGAAGACCAGAACGATCTGGATGCTGGAGATTGTTAGGCCTTCCAATATTTAATCTTTCTAGGCAAGCAGGTCCTTTAGGTGCTCTGGTAATGAGGAGAGCATGTGAGGTAGTCATGCACAGAAAAGAGATGTAACAAATAAACTGTCTTTTATAAACAAATAAATTTCTTCTGTGAGACCATCTCATTTTGGATAAGGATTGCTACGGTCTTATGAAGTCATACCTATTAGTACAATCATCAGGTAGTTTTATAACATTTCTTCTGTTGGCTTAAAAAAGGGTAGATTGCCTGTATAGCACCTAAACAGTATTTGTTGATATAAAAAGAGAATACACTGAACATATAGCATTTTATTTAAAGAGAGGTTTTTGGGTTTTGTTTTGTTTTTATTGTTTGTTTTTCAATACTGAGTGCTTTGATTTGATTTAGATTTTAAGAAAGTTGTCATAGTTTATTAAGAAAAAAATCTTTTCAGCTGATAAATGTCATATAATAATCTCTTTCAGTAAAAAAAAAAAAGTCCTCTTGACCTGTACATTAGAGTTCTGAACTCAATACTTGCGATTTTCATCATTTCTAAACATTTAGTGAATGATCATATAGTTCTGTAATTGCTGTTTTAAGTCGATCTTTCTTGATTTCTTTCCTTCTTAAATCTTATTGATATTTCACTTTGGAACTGATCAGATAATAATACAAAAGTCACCCAGGAGCCGTGCTGTCAGCATATTACATCTAACGGGGGTTATTTCATTATCCCCTCCTGCCAACAATTTCACTGTCAATATTTTCTCCTCTGTGTTAAGTAAAAATCCTGTATACTGGGAATCAGAAAGAGACCTCAAGCTCATTGCACCCAATTTCCTGCTAAATCTAAGAAAACCGTCTGCCACATCTAGGCCAGGTCCTTGGTTGGTGATCTCCAGCTATGGGTCACTCACCTTTCTTTCTTCCTTCCTTTCTTTCTTTCTTTCTTTCTTTCTTTCTTTCTTTCTTTCTTTCTTTTCGAGTGTTTCTAATCCTGCTGATGGATATCAAAGTCATGCTTAAGGTCTTCAGAATTATTACCAGCTATGCATTAACAATAGCATACAGAACATTTATGTCTTTTATAAAATGTAATCTTGTTTTATTTCCTGGATAAGAGAGAGTAGCAATTTATTTTGCTAATGAAGTTTCAAGTTGATATAGAAATCAGTATGTGTTTATCGGGCACAGTTGCTTCTCATTCTCACAATTGTGCTTTCAGGTGTGTATGGCATGTCGTACATGGAAACTGGCCAAGGTATTTGGAGAATTTAGACTAATTGGTCTGGGTCATAATGGTTACCGCATTAATCTTCAATTACTTCTGTAATAAATCATGGCAAACTTCGTAGTTTCAAACAACATAAGTGTACTATCTTATCTTTCTGCAGGTAAAAGTCAGAAATGGGGTTCACTGGTCTAAAATCACATTGTTGGCAGGCTTGTGTTCCTTCTGGAGGCTCCATGGAAGAATTCAGTTCCTTGCCTTTCTTACCCAGCTTCTAGAGGCTGCCCTTTTGCTCATGACTCCCTTCCATTGTTAGAGCAAGCAGTGGCTAGTTGAATCCTTCTCACATTGAATGACTCTGACCCTCCCTCTTCTGCCCCCCCCCCCCCCCCCGCTTCCAAATCTAAGGACCCTTGTGATCACAGCGAATTCATCTGGATGATCCAGGATAACTTCTCTATTTCAAAATCAGCTAATTAGCAACCTAATTCCGTCTACTAACTTAATCCGCCTTTGTCATATAATGTAACAGACTCATAGTTTCCAGGGATTAGGTCTTAAATATCATTATTCTGCCTGCTACAGATACTCATTTGGATGTTTGGCTTAGATTTGAACTGAATTTTATGACCACTTGAATTTATCAGATAATTACCCAGTATAGCTTCATTGCTCTGTATAAACTGGACACGTGTGAATTCATTGCTTGTTTTTTATCTTGAATCTCAAATGAAAATTCACTCTGCAGTGCTAATTTTTAAAATGGCAATTTTAAAAAATGTGAAAACCCAATGTTATTAAATTTATAAATGACATGGCAACACTTTACCTATGATTTACAAACAAAATATAATTTTTGTAAAGTTGAAGTACAGGAGCAGAAATTTCTTTAGAGACTTAAATGTCTCTGTAGCATTCTTATGTCAATAAGGGGAACTAATGTTCTGGAAATATGAGATTCGTTTATGAGTGACTGGTCATGTCCACAAATATTACCTTTATAAAATATTTACTACTGAGTGCCATGATCAGTTGGACTTATCATCCATTCATTCACATATAAGAAAATAATCTACATTAAGAGAAAATACAAATATTTTCTAGATAGATACATATAGATATATCTCATATCTGACCATTTTAAACTCAAGAAAAGACTTCTTAATCCCCCCAAAACTGCATCTGCTTCTTCCAGGTGAATCTGGAATTTATCTTCCTGTTTCTGTTCTTAAACCTAGAATTATTTTGGAAAAGTAACACTGTAATTCACTTGTGTGCTTGGTTGCATCCTCAATCACATAGGAAAGTATTTTTGCCTTATGAACCTTTTTACATTTCAAAGCTTCTTCCCCTTCCAATGAAAATAATAACTTGTAGTTCTTTTCATCTTTGCATCATGAAAATTCAATTTCCTTTTCCTCTATGCTTTTACATATTTTTTAACCCTTCATATTATAACCTGTGTAGTTTGGTGTTATGTAATACCTGTACAGTACATTTTCTATTTTTGGCCCTGCAGAAATCTGTTTAAATGGCATATTATACTATATGCACTTAAATGAGATAGCTTTCTCCTAATATAGGCTTTTTCTTTGAAAAAAAAAAAAAAGCTTTTCTCTACATTTACATGAAACACACATAAGGGTTATGCAAAAAGTTCCCGACTAAAGACCAGAAGGTTGTAATTTGTCCAGTTATTTTATCAGCATCTTAAAATAAGCATAAATTACCATTGAACTGAGCAAGTTATTAAGTGTACCTTTGAAAGACAATTTATAGCAGGACCAGCATGGACGTAATGTTATTAAGTGAGATGTCAAATGATTGCTTGATGACTATTTATAGAATGGAAAGTAAGATCTCAGGCCCCAAACCAAAGAATCATTAAGTTGTAGCAGCTAAGAGTCAGTACAGTTAACCGACAATAGTATTTCATAATATATTAGAGACAGAAGAAAATGTTTCTAATTTCCCATATGGAACCTGAGGAGCAGAGAATATAGGAGACATACAAGGCCGCCCAGCCAGTCTCTGGCCACTGGCCAGCAAGGTCAGTGTCCACTCTTGTGGACACTCTTGTCACTCTTCCTGCCCATCTGGTCCAGGCCGAGTAGCCAGTCCATCCAAAGGCTCCAGCCAATCCTACAGTAATGGTGTGGCTAGAGATCTGTGTGCTCCTGGAGAGGGGAACCTGGGGGCTCCTTCCCTTGCAGAATTAACTGGATGTGTCAGCTGCTGGGGAAAGTCCTCTAGAGCCTGGGCCAGGCCTGGCCTATCAGTGCTTGCGAGTACTTTCCAATGGCATCATCCATATTCAGTCACATGATTGAATCATAAACATGGTGAAAATTTAAGTACAAATGCAAATTAGTGAGTGATAATATAGTAGCAACGTGTCCTTTATGACTGAGGACCATTAAGCATCAATTACAACAAGATGCTGTTTTGTAAAGAAGAAGGGAAAACTACCTCATTAAAAAGTCAAAATCCTTGGCACCCTTTGACCCCTCCAGAGGGGATCCTTGGGATTATCACTGAGATAATTGATACATTTTTCAGTGGTATTATAAAATAGAAATTACTGTTGTTTTTCTATATTTTAGCACCCTGGAATGTAGTAAAATTAACCAATATGTCTGAATTTAATTTATATCTGTGTTAACTTCTGTAACCAAATGAAACAATATAATGATGAAGTTGCAAAAAGGAACATTTTTCTTACCAAATGACTAAATTAGATAATTAAATTCTTATAATATCACGACATCAGACACATCTTTTAAATATTTAAATCTATAGTCTTCTGGGGGGTGTTGATATTTAAAGGAAATACT